TGATCAATACTAATTAAATAACCTTATTAATATATTAGAACTTATAATATATTAACAAACCTTAAGTGTTATTTCTCTCATTTTAGTCTATCCAAGTGCATGATGCCATGCAACCCAAATGGACCATGCCGGGTCGGGTCAAGTTTTACCAATATATTAGAAAAAGTTATTCACACTAGGTGAATAATTGCATGAGAGTAGAATTTCCTAGCAAAAATGCTAGTTGTGACAAATGACGATTGTATCATACCTCGTTAAAACGTTAATAGTTAAAACCTCATGGGAAAAACCATTTATTAAGGAAAAAGTGTACATGATTAATAATAGATATTTGGAACAATTGCCCCGTTAAAAACCTTGCTAAGAAAACCCAGTGGGAAAAACATAGCTAAGGAAAAGAGTACAATATGTTTCCAACTCCCCCTGATCATCGCATCACTTGATTTCCTTAAAGCGTCACATTCCAATATTTCGTACCATGTTTTCAAATTTGGATGTAGGGAGCGCTTTAGTGAACAAATCTGCCAAGTTGTTACTTGATTGAATTTTCTGGATGTTGATGCCACGCTCTTTTTGAAGATCATGAGTAAAAAAAAAAAAAAACTTTGGTGATATATGTTTTGTTCTGTCTCCTTTGACAAAACCTTCCTTGAATTGGGCTATACAAGCCGCATTATCTTCATATAGTATTGTTGGAGCGTCCCTGTTAGAAGTTAGACCACCACTCTCACGAATGTCATGAGTTAAATTTCTTAACCAAATACATTCACGGCTTGCCTCATGAATTGCTATAATCTCTGCATGGTTAGAAGAAGAAGCAACTAAAGTTTGTTTAACAGAACGCCAAGAGATTGCGGCACCTCCACAAGTGAATAAATAACCTGTTTGGGATTGAGCTTTGTGTGGATCAGACAAATATCCAGCATCTGCATAACCAATTAACTCCGCATTTGATGAATTTGAATAATATAAGCCCATATCCATTGTACCTCGAAGATATCGAAGAATGTGTTTGACTCCATTCCAATGTCTTCTTGTTGGGCAAGAACTATATCTTGCTAATAAATTTACAGCAAAAGATATATCAGGTCTCGTATTATTAGCAAGATACATCAGTGCACCAATAGCACTAAGATATGGTACTTCGGGACCAAGAAGTTTTTCATGTTTTTCACAAGCCGAAACTGGTCCTTTTTGGCATCTAAATGCCTTACTACCATCGGGGTACTCAATGGATGTGAGTTATCCATATAAAACCTTTTAAGCACTTTTCTAGATAACTAGATTGATGTACTAAAACTCCATTTTTGGTGTGCTCAATTTGAAGACCCAAAAAAAATTTTGTTTTACCAAGATCTTTCATTTCAAAATTTTCTTTCAAACAAGAAGTGTCATTTTCCAATTCTCCAGGAGTTCCAATTATGTTCAAATCATCTACGTAAACAACAATTATCACAAATTCTGATCCGGATCTTTTTATGAATACACATGGGCTTAATGGATCATTTTTATAGCCCTCTTTTAAAAGAAATGTACTTAAACAATTGAACCACATACGGGCAGATTGTTTCAATCCATACAAAGATTTATTTAATTTTACCGAATATACGTCACGAGAATTAGGAGTTTGTGCTTCTGGCACCTTAAACCCTTCTGGGATTTTCATATAAATATCATTCTCAAGTGAACCATATAAATAGGCGGTAACTACATCCATTAGGCGCATCTCCAATTTTTCATGTGTTGCCAGACTTATTAGATAACGGAATGTAATTGCATCAATCACAGGAGAGTATGTTTCTTCATAATAAATTTCGGGCCTTTGGGTAAAACCTTGTGCAACAAGTCTTACTTTATATCTCACAACTTCATTCTTCTCGTTTCTTTTGTGCACAAATACCCATTTGTGTCCCACTAGTCTTACTCTGTTTGGTGTACGGACTATAGGTCCAAAAACTTTTCGTTGAGTAATAGAATTAAGCTCTTTATTTATTTCATCTTTCCATTTTGGCCAATATTTTCTATTCATACATTACTCAATAGATTTAGGTTCAAGATCCTCATTTTCTTTATAATCGCGCGCGGAACATAATATGAAAAATTATCGTCGACATCTATCTTATTTCGATTCCATCTTATTCTTGTTATGACATAATTTATTGAGATCTCATCATTTTCATTTTTTTCAGGTACCTTATTTTCTTTTGTTATGTCATTGGGCTCTTCTGGAGCTTCATTAATATTTTCAAAAGATTATGTTTTCTCTTTTGGACCAACAATTATATTTGCTCCCTTTCGTTTTCGAGGATTTTTATCTTTGGAACTGGTTGGTCTTCCACGCTTCAGGCGTGCCTTTGATTCATTTGTAGTTGTATTTTTTTCCTTCTGAGATATCAATTCTAACTTGAGTAAGTATAGCTGGTACATGAAACTTTGTTACCCACTTAGGGTCAGTAAATGCTTCTGGCAATTGATTTGCTACATTTTGTAAATGAATTATCTTTTTTATTTCAAGTTCACATTGACTTGAACGAGGAACTAAAACTGAAAGTGACAATTCCTTTCAAGAGATTTTATTTTCCAGCTTCTTTATTTCTCCCCCTAATGTTGGAAAATATGATTCATCAAAATAATAATCATAAAATATAGCTGTAAATAAATCTCCAATTGATGATTTTAAAGATTTTACTATAGATGGAGATTCATATCCAACATAAATTCTCATTCTTCTTGAGGACCCATTTTTGTGAAGTGAGGTGGAGAAATGGGTACATAAATTATACATCAAAACATCATTGGATGGTAAATAATTGGTTACTGACTGCAAACCAGTTGAATAGGGGAGAACTCATGATAACTAGTTGTCATTATGCATATAAGTGATGTTGCATGTAAAATTGCATGCCCCATGTCAATATAGGAAGTTTAGAATGCATTAGTAATGGTCTTGAAATTAATTAAAAGTGTTTGATTAACGACTCAACTAAACCATTTTGTGTATGAACATATGCAACATGATGTTCAATAGTTGCCTAATCGACATGGAATAATCATTAAAAGCTTATGATGTAAATTCTCCAACATTGTCAAGTCAAATTTTCATAATTGGGTAATCGGGAAAATGTGCCCTTAGGTGGATTATTTATGCAAGTAATCTTGCAAAAACCAAATTATGACTAGACAACAAGCACACATGTGACCATCTAGTTAACACGTCAATCAAAACCATAAAATATCTAAATGGTCCACATGGTGTTGGATGAATTAGTCCATATATATCCTCTTGAATTCTTTGTAAGAAACAAAGACTTTCATACCCAACTTTGTTCAATGATGGACTAGAAATTAATTTTCCTTGAGAGCATGCTACACAATTCATTATCTTGAAAAATCTTCTGGTTTTTCAAGGAATGACCACTTGAATTTTCATTTATTCTACATACCATAATTGATCCGGGATGGCCCAACCGGTCATGCTAAACTAGTAAGGTAATATCATACCTTTTTTATTTTCAATAACATGAATCATTGTAATATTTGTATAGTACAATCGGGAAGACAATACAAGTAATTTTTACAAAAAAACTTTTCTTATCCGATATCATTTTTGTAATGTTGAGATAATTTTTATTACCATCATTAGTTGTTTCAATAGGATATCCGTTAGACCGAATATCCTTAAAACTTAATAAATTTCTTGGTGATTTTAATAAAAATAATGCATCACCAATTGTAATTATTGTCACTTGTGGTAATACTATATTCGCTCTTCCAGAGCCTTCATTCTTGGTGATTTAGATGAAAATAATGCATCACTAATTTGTAATTAGTGTCCCTTGTTGTAATATTATATTCGCTCTTCCGGAGCCTTCAATCATTTTTGCATTACTTGTTATTATATTTACATTTGCTTATCTAATTGATAAGTAAGCAAAATACTTCTCATTATTAAAAATGCTATGTGGTATCGCATTGTCTGCAAGAAACATATATTCCTTATTTCTTTTGCGAATATCCATATTTCTTTTCAATAAATAAATAAAATACAAGAAATATTCGACTTAGAGAAATAAAGTCATAGTTTATTAATTTGGGAAGATTGTGACGTCATCATTTCTCATGAAACGAATACGACATAAAAACATAATAAATGTCATGAAACAAAACTACACATTTATTCTGATCAATCACCATCCATATCACCACTTGTCCCTTCGGGGTAGACAAGAAAATCGACAACATCCAAATGTGTCATTTCTGGTTGATCTTCATGGATATCACTTTGAATAAAATTTGTTTCGATATTTTTCTTTATATTTTAGAGAATCTTGATAAAGATCAACAAAATGCTTTGGTAAGAAGCATGTACAAGACTAATGATCTGTCATTCCACATTAGTGATAAACATTTTCAACCTTTGTTTTTCCTTGACCATGTTTATCATTAGGATGTGGATTTTTGTTATTTTCCAACTTCTGGTGGTTACTTGTAATCTTGTTATTTTTATGATAATCATGATAACCTCCATGACCTCGGTTAGACCCACGACTATTATGATTATGTAATGTTGCATTCACTTCAGGGAATGCGCTAGAACCGGTCAGGATTAATTGGTGATTTTTCATCAATAAATCATTGTTTTGTTTAGCCACAAGTAAGCATAAGATTAATTCATATTTATTTTAAACATTTCTCATGATATTGCTACTGCAGGAGCATGTTAGTAGTATGAAAACTAGAGAAAGTTTTCTCTAGCATGGTTTTCCATAATGAAAATAGAAATCAAAATAAAGACTTGTATGTTAAGGAATTGTTAGTTAAGAAATTCCATAAAATAAGTTGTAAGCATTGTACATGTAAAATTATAAAAAAATACATACCTGAAAATGACAAGAACAATAAGGAGTTAGAGCTCTATGGTAGAGTCGTGCTGATAACGTGTTATAAAATATGATCAAATAACAAGATAAATTATAAAGTAAAGAAAGATATGAGAGTAGAGAGAACTTTTATTTCAATACTTGTGATGAAATCATCAAGTGTCTAATACATATGGCTCACTATTTATACTATCCAAATAAGATGAAAGATGAGCTATAATATGAATGCACATTATGATGGTGTATTATTACATTCATAAAACACATTGAAATGGTTGTTACTAATGCTAAATAATGATGGGGAGTTATGGGAGAAATGGAGAATCCAATGGTCATTCACAAACTAATATTTCATAACAATTTAAACATTTTATACAAACAAATACAAAATTGAATGATGATCAATGGTATACAACAAAACCATACTAAAATAACCTCTTAATTATTTTTTTTCAGGAACTACTCAAATTCCCATCCAAAACCAAATTTTTTTATTCGAAACCCACTAAAAAATTTCATCACTATCCAACAATAACATAACACTAATCTTGAATTAAGCCCCTCCTGAGCCATACTTCTTACCGAAAACAATAACCTGAAGCTTATCATAACCGGCAAGAACACCAGCACCAGCAACAGCTCGCAGGATATTTGCTCCCGCTCCCTTGAACAATGATTTTGAACCTTCTTTCTTTATAATTTGAGAAAATGCATCCAAAGAGCTCTTGTATTTAACCGCTTCACCTGATGTCATCATCATTCTTCTGCGAACAGTGTCAATTGGGTACGATGCAAGACCAGCACCGATTGTGATCACCCAACCAAGCCCAAAGCTTGCAAAAAAACTATCCTGAATTTTATAAAATTAAAATCAAATTTTTATAAGTCTCAATCAGACATTTAATTGAAAACAATAACATTAAACACTTCAAAATGCTTATTTTGTACATAAGTAGATAGCTTTCTTTGAAAAAATAAAAAGAACTCTCAATTTTAAAAATTAAATGCAAAGTAAAAAAATTGGCGTAATAAAAAAATGATTATTTTCTTTAAGCTTATAATAGTTCTTAAAAAAAAAAAAAAAAAAAAAAAAAAAAAAAAAACTAACCTGCAAAGATCCGGTGAGAAGAACGGGCTTCAACGAGTCGTACATTCCAAAATACAAACCACGATACACGATGATTCCAACAATTGAAATGTTGAATCCACGATATAACCCTGCAATTCCATCGGTTGCAATGGTTTTCCTGTACACATCAATTAACCCATTGAATTGTCTCTCTCCTCCTTTCTTTGCAGCTTTAGCATCATTTGCTAAACGAGTTCTGGCATAATCCAAAGAGTAAACGAAGATCTGAGACGACGCGCCGGCGGCGCCACCGGAGGCGAGGTTTCCGGCGAACCATTTCCAGTATCCGTCGCGGTCTTTCTTGAAGTTGAACATCCTCTTGAAATGGTCCTTGAATGCAAAGTTAAGAGCTTGAGTTGGGAAGTAACGGATGACATTAACGGTGTTTCCTCTCCATAACGACATGACTCCTTCGTCCTTGATTGTTCTTGAGAAACAATCTCCGATGCCTTTGTAGGGTTCGGAGAGACGACCGGATTTGATCATTTCATCTTGGTTTTGGACCAAAAGCTTCACACGCTCAATTGGAGCAGCTGCTGATTTGGACACGGCTGCTGAAACTCCACCCATGAGAAAATCGATCGCGAATCCGGCCATACCTTTTTCAGATGGAGCTTGAACAAAAACTGGAGAAGGATTTGCAGCTACCAATGACTGCAACCCTGGAGTTGAGCAATTTCCATATGTGATTTGTCTCTGAGTTGCAGCAGGGGTTTGAAAAACACTATAATGAGTTCGAACATCTTGGGAGAAGTGTAATCGGCTAGCTACTTTACTAATAACGGCTGTATGTTGATTCTGATCGGTCATTGTGCTCACAATATAGAATTCCTACAGATTAAGCATACCAAGAACATCAAATCCGTTTAAACAACAACATATTGGGGAAAAACGAGACATCTGTATTAAACTCTAACGAGTAACGATCCCAATCGCACATAAACGAATAACAATTGCAACAAATGATAAATCGGAGACAGAGTATGTAAGCGAAAATTGAATGTATTCAATAGAAGTTAAAACAAACAATGAAGCAGGATGTTCAACTGCGAATCGTGCAAATCGACATGATTACAATGTGGATACGAACTCCGATAACAAATCCACGGTAAAAACCAGGAAAAAATAGCCGAAATTTAGTGAAATTTAAACATCAAACATTCCGGAGATGAAACGAAGGCGTTTTAATCACCGTGACTATTATTGAAACATGTAGATACATTTACATATCGGAGAGTGTACCTCGGAGTTCGACGGCGGCGGAGAAGGAGGAGATGTGGTGTTGACGGTTGAATATGAATCCGACGAAAGAATTTTGAAGCGGCAAAATGGAGGAAGAACGGTTATATAGTGCGGTTTGACGTGTGAGATTCTGCTGTGGGCGTAAAGAATGGACGGTGGAGATTTGATGTGAGAGAAAAGGAGATTCAATATTGGATGCAGCAGCCATAGAAAGTGGGGCCTACAAACAAAATTCTATTCCAAAAATATGTATTTTGGATACGCCGTCTCTACTTTTCTTACAACTTATTTTATGACATTTAGTCTAAAAAAATAATTATATAAATATATTAAGCAAATGTATAAATGTTTGAAGTTCACATTTCAAGAATATAAAAGATAGACGTGATCACAAACACAAAAACAACCAAAAGGAAATACAAAATAACAAAATCATATAAAAGATACTTTTATTCATCAAGATACGTGTGTTAATGTAATAATAACACAACCAGATTACAATGCAGGGCAAACTTCAGGGAAAGGAATACCACACTTTTCAGTAATTTTGCGAAGAAATCGGTGATTTGGTGGCAATGTTGGGTGATTAATGTCTATGTATTGGCATAAACAATTTCTGTGGTGATCTAATTCTTGACAACAAAGTGAAGATGGTGATCCTTTTGAAATTAAAGCTGGATAACAATCCTTTATCTCTTGATTGGGAGCACAAACTTGAGCATAAACATCAACCAAAAGAAGCATCATTGCAACAACAATAGCAAGAACAAAAGTTGTGTTCTTCATTTTACAATCTTGGAGTGATAACTTGAGGGGGGTGAACATAAACGATGGGAAATTAGACTTGGGTTTTCATTACATTCACTGTGGTATAAATACTAATTACAAATCAAGAGTTAAAGCTACAATAAATATTTTAAACTAGGGAAGTGCTAATATCATGGAAATAATACTAACAATATATACTATATAGTACCATATAAAGAAGGAATTATATAAATATTAAAGAAGGAATCATGGGTAGTAATTATTAGGATGATTGATTTCATTAACAATTGTAACCGGTGAGAATATTGTCCCAAATTAAAGATGCATTGAAAGATCACCATAAAATTAACAATAATTCAAAATTTATAAGACACTAAAATTTACAATAAACTAAAATTACAATAAGCTATAAACATATATTTTTGTTAAATTTTTTAAAAAAAAATGTTCTTTTGTAATGTGATATATTAAAACAACAATATTATAAAACGCTAAAATTTTAGAAAAAATCTTGAAATCCAAAGAACAAGCCCCGAATGTCAAGAAAATGGTTTCTTTTTCACTAAAATCTAACATCAAAGTTAAATAAACACATCAAAAGCACAGTAGAGGATAGACAAACATAAAATTTATCATTTTGTTGAAAAACTCTATAATAGATATTTTGGATTTTAAAAGCTAAAAGATTCTAAAAATGGTTGATGCAAAAGAGAAAAATAAAAATTCATATTATAGATCATTGAAATGAGAACGATTTCACAAATGGTGGTCATTTTTGTAAATAGTCAAAAGTAGTTATTTCTCTAAATCTTCGAAAATCATTTGGACATTTTTATAAGGGTTTAGGTCACTGAAGTTTATGAGTGTTTTATTTTGGTCATTTTGAGCTATCATTAGTTATTGAACTTGTTTATTTGTGTTCGTTTTAGTCCTTCTAACCGATGATTGTCGGTGTATAACATCAAATGGCGTTGTCAGGATTATAATTAGTAAGGTTTGCGATGAAATGGAATGGAATCATCTTGATCTCTTCTTCAATGAAGATCATCGATCTGTGAAAATGAAATCCCAAACACGCCAACAATCTGGTTTTGTTTTCGGGTGGCAATTGGATGGGCAGATGCATTTAGGGGGTTCTCATAACCTTCAATTTGTGCTCTTTAATGGGGTTTTTGGATCAGGAACCTTTCGATATTAATTTTTTATATGAAATGGTGGATTTTTTTTATCTAGTTGATGGTTATCGTTGGAGTCTGAATTAAGGTGTTAACATTGAGGGATAAGGGTAGGAAAAAGAGAGCTCAGACCACTCGTTGGTTTCTTTTACTATCGAATGAATGTGGGTAACAGGTGGTGTGATTGTGGTTAATGTTGATGGTTGTGGGTAATGGTGATTGTTTTAGTGGTAAGTTGTGTGGTGGCATGTGGGTGGTGATAGTGGTGATTGGAAAAATGATTGTGGTAGTCAGTGGTGGTGATTGAAAAAAGTGATTACAGTTGGCGGTAATAGGCAGTGGGCGGTGGCAATAGGTGGTGACACTATGAGTATGCTCTTAAATGTGTGTGTATTTTCTTGAGTATATTTTGTTTTTTATATAAAGAATTAAAAAATAAAAACAAAACGTAAAAAGGCATGATGAGATCTGAACCCCTACCTTGACTAAGAGAATTAGGTTATTCTTTTGCTGTTGGTCTTTGGTCGGCCTTCTAGAAGCTTCGCCAGAAGCGACTAGTCGCTTCCCGAATGCCCCTTTCCTTCGCTACTAGGAGAGTCGCTAGCTTGCTTCATTAAAAACATAAATCCAGTAGCCCAAACCAGATGTCCAAATAAAAACATCCATGCCCAGACTGATAAACTATTCATACCAAGATCTGGCATCTTTGCCTCTTCTTGTTCAGGGTCCTCTAGAACCGCAAAACAAAACGGTTCGGGCTGACTAGGTCCAGTTGGGTGATTCCACTAGCACAACGAGTGTCCTGCTCCCCCCTTTGCGATTGTCACTACTGGTACCTGACCCCGTCGGCTCGACATTTTTGCAAACACCGACCCGACCCTTACTCAATAGGGAGTTTAATTAACGTCGGCTTATCTGTCAGTCGTGTTGGGTCTGCCGCTTAGTTGAAAACTATGAAACAAGTCTGCGGTAGTTCAAAACTGGAATTGGCACAATTACGTTTATTAGAAGTGGACAATCGAGTGGTTATACCAGCCAAAAGTCATCTACGTATCGCCGGACCGCCCCCGCCGACGAAAAAAAGATTTTCTTTTTTGTATGGGATGCTAGTAAGGATGAACATGACGACGGCCTTCGATCGATCTTTTGTGGGAGAAGTCTCTTAGTACGGGATAGAAGGGGCAGCTGCTGTGGGAGTAAGCATAAACAAGCAGTAAGCCAACCACCGATCTATCTCAATGCCATCGGCAAGCTGCTACCTCGGGGCTATTATCCCGGATTGTTCTAAGACTGAGCTCTATTGGGTCCCCAGGGTCGCTTGGGAGCACCTTGTTGCTGCTTAGGATCATAATTGGGTTTATGCTGTAGCATCGGTTATTGCTCTGGTTACGAATGACCCAATCTATCTATGGCAACCACCCCTACTTTTAGTAGATGGAGATGCGCACCTAGGAAAGCGCGGAATAGACCTACGTGTCGGCCAGTGCCGGGGCAGAGATAGGGACCATGAAAGCATGGGATTCAATCGAACCTTTTCAGACAATTCCTAACTAAAAAATCCATGGTTTCCCGGTAGAACCCTATTTCGCCCAAGTTGTTTCAGAACCGGAAAAAAGAAGCGGTTTTTCGCACAGCTTGCGCATAGTGCAGGTCCCACTTGTATATCGTATTTGGCCGAAGAAGCATCGGACAGGTTGGAGTTCTTACCTTCTTGGGCCGCCTGGAATCAAAAGACTTTCGAACCCGTTGAAGATCCTTGTGGCTCCGGATTCCTCCAATCCAGCCGATTCCGAATCGACCAATTCCGGGATCTTTTGCAGCGAAGGCCTGTCATCGAATTCTTCAAACCTGGGGCATGTCGATCCTGAATGAAACTAAACACCCCTTCGATTTTCAACTTCGCAGTCTGCTACTATTAGAGGGATATGGATTTCTTTCCCCCGGATATCGATTTCTCGGGAGTGCTACTCTTTCCATCAAAGCAATCACACCCTTGTTCTCAGTGCTTAGTGTGAAATGACTTAGTCAAGAGATCGTAGGATAACGGCAAAGGAAGAAAAGGACTTGGCTTAGGTTCCCCCTTGTGACAATGGGAATGCCTATTACGTTTTTCAGTAGCAAGCTACGGTCTAACGCTTGCCTCCGGTGGCTAACCGGGCGAAAACTCCAAAACTAGGGTTCCAAACCTTTCTCTCCCTCCAGCATGAGCGAACCTTTTCGAAAGTGGTTAGGAATGGGCGCCCCTCTCCCAGCCCGGATCCAGCCAGGATCATTTCACAAACACATATTAGTTATAATGATTATTTGTGTGCAAGGTTTGATCTGTAGGAACGATCCATGCAAAAAAAGGTTTCATAAGAAGTATTTTAAGGACAACTGAAAAGATTAAGGACCATTTGTGAAAATTTGTCTTTTTTTATAATGATAATGATAAAGCAAGTGATTAGAATGAATTTTTTTTAAATATATATATATATATATATATATATATATATATATATATATATATATATATATATATATATATATATATATATCACTGTTTATAGTGACTAAAATGATAAAAAAAAAAAAATAATAAGCTCAGTAACAAATAATAACTTAAACAAAATATAATAATTAAAATAAAACTCAAAAAATAATAAATAAAAATAACCTAAACCCTTTTTATAGTTGTCCCTATATTAGTTGATTCTCAATTTAAATTTACCATGTTATATTAATATTCCATGATTGATGAAAAAACCTATAGAACATATACAACCTGGGAGGGTATATTAGGCTAGAAGGAGTGGGAGTATGATACGGAGTGAAATGTTTTTAAAAGGTAAAAACTTTTTTTCTTAAATCAAATAAATGTTTATTTTAATATTAAATTAATAAACTTTAACAATATACAAGTTGTTAAAATGAATTTACAATTATTTAAAACTGAAATAGAGGGGGACCACCTACTATCCTTTCCATTTCTCTTTCATCTCGCCAAGCATTCGGCGAGACAATCTTAGTACGTTAGTTTAACAATTGTGAATAAGTGGTAGCGAGTAAGCCATGTAAACATAGCGAGAGAGATGGCGAGGTCACTCCCTCTAGCCTTATGTAGACTTAGACCAAAATAAAGAGTTTGAGTCAAATCCATAGTCTAGCACTTGTTGAATGGGTATGGTAATCTAGAAAGGTTGAGCAAATCATAACAAGATTATAGATTATTCAAGCAAGTTATATCCATGATATTAGGTGAAAAGTCTCCAACAGACATTTCCAACAAAATTCATGTCACATTCAAACCTTGTAAAAAATAACAAGGGCTTCAAATTTGACCTTATATTTATTTAAAGTAATTACTAATTAGTACGGTTCTAAGAGTCGAAACAAAGTAGTCATTTGATCAAAGTAGAAGATGTTTACAAAATTTTATATTTATTTTCAATGATCAATTTTTTCTTTATAATTCTGCCCGATATACAAATCAATGGTCCGAGGTCTAGAACCAACAAGGAGAAATCAAACTTTTCCACGAGAATCCGAGAATTTATATATGTAATTAAATGAGGCGGCGCGGATAAAATTGTTATTAATGTTAATCGGACAAAAAGTTTATAAAGACCATGCAAGACTCGCTCTTCTCGTTTGTGTAAAAGACATTAACGCCCTTCCCATATTCGTCATCGAAAAATAGCTTTAGTAGTGTAAAAAACACAAACCTGTCATCATTATTTTAAAAGCACATGACCCTGAAACAAACTATGGAACAATGTCCCTAACCAATATCACAATTTCACAAATACTTTCATAACTCAAAACCTCTTTCAAACAAGATTACAAAAACAAATACAACTTTTCACCATTTCATATCTTAGAATCTATTCAAAGTTATTTTCAAAATACACTAAGGTTTAACAGAGTAACTGAAAAGCTAGCTGCTAACTGAATCCATAACATGATCCTTACGCTTTAATTGCAACGTCATTCGCTCATTCTCCAACATCAATCTCTCATTCTCCAATCTTGAAACTTCCAACTCTCGATCTTTCCTATCACAAAATCTCTGCCATTTAAACCGCCTTTTCTCCATCTCAAATGCTTCACTTTCAATCCCAATTCTTTGTTCATGCAACATCACCATTCGCTTCATAACCCATTCTTTCTTTTGCACTTTGGAATTGTTAACATCTTCAAAAAACTCATTCATCTCATCAAAAAATACATTTACATTATGAGTGTTACCTTTTTCTCTTTCCCCATCATCTTCACTTTCATCATCATCTTCACTCTCATCATCATCCTCATGATCTGAATCATCATCCTTTGAAGATTGCCCCACAATGGGTGATGACTCAAGTTCTGCACAATTCGGGATCTTTTGACCATTATGGTAAGCACACATTTCTGGGTAAAAAAGATGCTTTGAACTCAAGATCTTTTTCACATCTTCTTTCATTTTTGGAGATAAACGAGGGATTGAATCCATTAAAGATGGGTTTTCAACAACTCTACATGAAGTTCCTCTCCCAAGAATATCGTTTAATCGTTTGTACCTTTTGTTTAAATCGTTGAATTTGTCCTCGCATTGTTGTGGTGAAACTTGGCATCCTTTTGAAACCATGATTTTTGAAACAGATTTCCATTTTCCTTTTTTCTGTAAGCATCCGGAGGATTTCCGAGTTGAACCACCGTCAATGGCGCCATCGTCGTCTCCTACAGAAGCCACGATCTGGATCAAAAGTCTGACTCTGCTATCTGACCATTTCATTCGCTGCCATTGTGATGAACTGCCCTTTCTACCTTTCGCCCCACTTCCGTCTTCCATGAAACTTGGTTCGTCCTCATCGCTCATGTTGTGATCGTTCAAGCTACCATCAGATTTTGGTTTCCCAAAACTTAGATAGGACGTATTAGGGTTTAGAATCTTGGTTTCCATGAAAAGATTGTTTGCCATCGATTCGATTCGTAAGATTCAGAACGAAGAATTTAAGAAACCCAGATCACAGTTCACTCATCAATTGTATTGAAATCAACAATCTCGAATCGGAAATACAATCACTTTCAACTGAATTAACTAAAAGAATTCAAGAAAACCCTAAAAGATAGATCGGTAATGGTTAGCCTTAAACCTCCCACCCCCATAAGATCAAGATCAAAGTAGATAAACTTACTCAGATAAGCATTTTGAAAATGTTACCTGACATGTGTTCATGAGGATTTCTGCAGAGAGATTTTGTAATGAAAAGGGGCTTCGCTTTGTTGCCAAGTTAGAAGGAAACACTGTAGGCATCCAATGAGTCAATGGGTTGGTGACTTGTGAAAGGGATATTTTCACAAAACGCTAAGTTTGGCGATTAATAGTTTTATCATTTAGAGTTAGGTTGATATATGCCTAATTATTATGTGATTGTGTCAAACTTTAACTATTGATCTCAAAAAATTATGATCGATAATTTCTTTTTTATTACCTAAATAAAAGTAGCTATATATATGGAATCAATCCGAACGTTTCAAATGATAATATACTTTCCATTGTTTAATTAGGTATCTGTTTTGTTTAATTAGGTTTCAGACCCACATCTTTATATCATGTCTCCTATATTAATTAGGTTTTCTTGTAGTTTGTTTGAAGCTATCATACTCATCAATTTCGAATTTTCTATGAGAATGAGTCTCGTAGATGATGAAATCAACATCTGAATAAGTTAGGGATATGTTTGATTTCTGTTTGGAACAAACGTATGATTTTCTTCTTCTTTTTTTATTTATATATTTTTTAAATTATGTGAATTTTAATGAGTCTTTTTTCCTGGTTATTGGATTGTGTCATCGTCATATGAAATTCTTAAAGAATGGTCTATTTTATCATTCATAAATCATCGTGGGTTATAACTTTATTAAAGATATGAAACGTAGAGCTACGTTAAAAGCATATTCATAAAAGACTTTTTTATGATTTGTGAATAGGAAAATATATTCTTACAGAATCATATATTCTTAGAGAATTTTGAAAACAATTTTGAATGTTTATACATTCTACAATATTTTTCATAATTAACTTAAATAGTTGTGTTCAATTGGATAAAATTGAATATGTTTTGTAGTAAGTCTGAACATATCATTCTATTACATTCATGATCTAGTGAAGTTGCATGAGTACTTATAGGAGTTGAATAAGTTGAAAATGAAGTTATATATGTCTTTCATTTTTTTTCTAATTATTTGGTTTACAGGAATCATTTTGAACAGATTGAAGGTGTTACTTTTCCAAAGCAACGTGAAATTGAGAATCCTTCTCTCATCATCAACAAAGGTTATTATAGTTGCTGAAAAAGACTTAAAAGTAAAAAATATATATTGAAAAATCAATTTAAGAAGTCAAAGAAAATGTGTAACTCAAGCAAACATAAGGTTAATCATGATAAGACAAATTATCCCATGAAGGCTAAAATAGTATAGTCTTATTTTTTTCCTATTCATGCAACAAATCATTTAAATAACTTTATGTTTTCAATTAATTCATTTTTCAAAAAAGATTATGTGTTATTTACCTTGTTATAAATATCTAAGTACGTTTATTTTCCTAATTAGCCTTCACATGTTCTCGTTTATTATTCAATACATAATCATTTTTAAAACAATGTGTTATAACTAATTCTTTCAGTATATATACGATTATTACATGTACAAGTAACACACTTGGGAACCATCAGTTACAAGTAATACCAAACTAAATGTCTTTAAGAATCTATTACGGCTAACAACATTTTTACATTCATGTATTTCTTAATAGCATAATATTACAAACAATTCTAAAATACTTAATATCATGATAATACGTAATATTCTTACATATTACAAACTATTATTAGAGACTATCCATGCAAATGGTAAATCCTGGGAACCATTAATTTCAATTATTGCTCACTCATATTCCTAACAAATTTGTAATATAAAAAAATCACATTCCACAGTTATCTGTTAGAATTACCAAAAAAAAATCATTTCTTAGTGCTATAAGAGTTAAAAAGAAAAGTCACAACCCAAAAACTTTAATTTTCATTTCAGCCATAACTTCCATAAACCATAATTTTTTGTTAATATCGTAACTTCAAAATAGTAAAAGGTTCCATCAACTAAAGACTGACATAAGCTAAAACAAACGACATGTAACATCTTGATTTCCGAGGTATAACATTTCTATATGTAAGTATGAGTTTGCTTGGGTGACTCGACGAGTTGGTGCCTCAACTCGCCGAGTAGGGTCACGAGTTGGTGACGTGTTAAATGTATGGAATCGACGATTCGGGTATTTGACTCGCCGAGTCAGCGCTGCGGAGGAAAAACCTAATTGTTCGGGTTTGTGACCTATTTAAAGGCTCTTATGGACTTCATTTGCGGCCACATTTTACCTTGAGAGACCCTATCTGATCCAGAGAGCATAGAGAGAAGGAGGGGGCTAACTTCATAATCTTGGTGCATTCTTGCATTAAAGAAGGACATTGTTCAAGCAAAATCGACTTGAGGGGCTCAGATCTGCTGCTATTCTGTTCAAACCTATTGTTTAAGGTATAAATCTACACCTACTTGTGTATGGTTAGTAGGAATTTAGGGTTTCTTCACCCTCTTTTAAGTTGAGTTATGAAGTATGTGAAGTCCCTTTAAGGCTTATACATCAGATCTGGACCTTAAGAGGTCCAGAGAGTCCCATGAATCCCAACTTTATGCAGTCACATAAGAGTATTGAGCCTTAAACATCATTAAGAGGGTCATTTTGTCAAATAGAGCTAAATATGTGATGCATGAGCATAAAGGTTGGACCTTTACGTGACTTTTGAGTATTAGGAGGTTAGATCTGTCACACCCCCGGACCAGACGGCGGAAACATCCGGAGGCGGGTGACTTCATTGTGCAGTATCATAACAATTGAATATACATGAAACCGAGCAATCCAAACGTCATACATTGAGATAACAAACTCACATTGTTTACATATTGTATTTGTTCTTCGAATTACAAAAAAGAGACATAAGTAGAAAAATCCAAACTACAGTTAAATAGTCTTGCATCTGCGTCCCTTGTTACCTGCTTACCAGATCCCTGAGAATACAAGTCATTTTGAAAAACATCAACTAAAAAGTTGGTGAGTTCAAAAGCGTTTTTGTATAAAATCGTTTACACCTGTTTAAAATCGTTCTCATTGTACTTTCAGAAAATCCGATATTTTCTATGAAATTGTTTGAAGTCTTGCCTTGAAAATCATGGATATATGTGTGCATGTCATTACTTTTGTTCATCTTTATAAGGAGTGATTTTGAAAAATAGTGTGATTTGTAAAAGCGAGTTGTGTACGAAAATAGTTCTTTTCAATAGTAATAGTCAACCGTTTCATGAAAATTCCATTATTTTCAAAAAAAGAAATATGGTTGAAAATCTTGTTCCTCTTATCGAGTAAAATTGAGTGTGTGTTCTATTTTATCGTTATCGAAATAGTAGAAAAATCGTTTTCTCCAGAAAATCCTATATTTTCTACTATAAAATATTCGTAAGTTCTAGTTCCAACTATATATGTGTGGGTTAGTTTATCGTTATCAAAACCATTTACAAACATTTTCCATAGAGTCCAAGGCTTTTTAATTTGTAAAATAGCAGTTTTACGACTCTATACTTGTTAGGAGAATGAGCCAACATGACAATTGTGGAAATTCTACGCGATGAAAAAGGACAATCAACACAACAAATGCGGACCATCACCTATCACGTGTAGGAAAGTCAACACAATGTGCCAAAATTTATTTATGAGGTTTCCTTACATAAATTTCTAGTTAATATAATATATTCTAGTGAGTCGTTATAACCATACTAATCTGACGGAGTGCCTGTTTTGACGTTTCTCAGGCGCCCTCGGTTTGGAAAAGACATTTGTCACCCTAGACTGGCCTATTTAGCGTTAGCGAACAGCGAAGGTGCGGGGTGTCAACCCCATATAGATCTATACATAAATTCCCACTCTCCCTCCAGGAGACTCTGGCTATAACTCCTTACAGGACTTTAGACGTACAGTAATATTTTTATATTTAGGTACTTTTGAGATTTGTCAGACTAGAATATTAACAACCTTTTGAGCAATCGTTAAAGATCCATTATTTGTTAGATAAATAATGAAATTCGTACTCATTGAATAGAAAGATCGTTCTTGTTCCATATCGTTGATTTTGCTCGTTAACTGGGTGCTTGTGTTCGTTCCTTTTCTTTATTGAAAAATAAGTCATTTTAGTCAAGAGAAAAAAAGTGTCAAGTTATAATTTGTATAGATTTATAACTACCGGTTATGACACGCATTTTTTGTTTTATGACATATAGAACATTTCTTATGTTCTTGGAGGTTTTACGACAACAACTTATGACATGCAAATATTTCTGTCATAAAGGCTCTATTTGTACATTTTCTTGACGCAAACTTTTATATCGAATATTTATATAATTCCCTTTGATAGTTTGCAAATAGTCACAAAGTTTCCATTTTCGAAAATTACTAGAAATGGTGTCCATTTATCAAGATCCATTTTTATAACTTTTATATCTAAACAAGAAAGCATAGATAAAAGGGTTAAGTTGGACACACCCAATAGTTGGGAGGCTCTTTTGTACACAAAGTATCCTCTTTTTCATTATGAAATTGTGAAGTCTTACGTTTATGAGTATATTACTAAAATAATAATTTAATAATATTTCACACACATACAAACATACGTATATGTGCAATCATTTAAGAATTTAGGCAAGATTTGACTTGTACTCTCCCCTAAAAATGTTAAAACATTGAAAAAGGTGGGGTATGAAGCTCACCTTGGTTTGTTTGTTGGGTGATTTGAAGAGTGATGAGGAAGTTTCCAAGCTCCAAACTTGAAAGATTCTTAAATCTCTAGAGTGTTCTAAGATTAATTTTTATGT